ATTTTGATTATTTCGACTTTGTGAGGGGGCGGAGGAGGGACGCACAATGGGGAAGGATTGGAAATTTTACCTAACAAGGGTAGGGGGTTTCAGAATCTACCTGAGCCATCCCCAGCCCTCTGATCGCATGTGATGATTAAATAAAAAAATCAAATTATCAAATAAAAAAGTAAATCTCGAAAATTCGGACTTCGAGAGGGGGTGGAGGGGCGATGCATAATAGAGGAGGCCTGAAAATTTTACTCATCAAGGGGAGGGGGTTGCAGAGTCTGTCTGAGCAACCTCCAGCCCTCCGTTTGCATGCGTTTGGATCAATAAAAAAATAAAATGACACTAACACAAGTTGAATTTTTATACCCGAAAAGAATGTATCATCCTAAGAAGTCGCAGGTGGCCCAGTGGATAGCGCACTTGTCTACGGATCAGAAGGACTCCGGATCGAACCCCAGCAGGAGCAATTTTTAAATGTTTGAATTCATTGTATTTCAATTTCCAGGTGCGCGGTAATAATCCAGGATAAATAATTAATAGAAACTAATGATGATAATAATTTTTTTCCTATTCATTGTTAATTAACCGACAATCACTATCACCAACAATGCTTAGCAACAGTGATGTACTGTCCGACAGCACTCTTTTTCATACGTTACTCTAAATTCATAAAAAGGGTTATAAAGCAATAAGAAATTGTTTATACAAATATCTGTAAACAATACTCCAGTTTATTTAGCCGGACTCGATTGAGCCTTTAAAATTTGGTAATTCAAGGCTTGAATCAAGCCTTGGCACCAAGCCTCGTTTAGGCCTTACGGACTAAGCCTGAAACGCGGTTATCATTTTAGGGCTGAAGGCGGATTGATCCAAGGCTGGGCCCAGCCGTGACTGAGCATTTCCGAGCCTTGGTCCAGGGCTTGATGAGCCCTGTTTCTATCGTTAATTCTTACCTAGGCGTTCTTCAATGTATGAGAAATCTCACTCCAATCTCACTCCCGCGACTGATAAAACTCATCTAGTAGTGTCCCATTAACCGAATTTTTTGTCGAAATTGAAAAACTTTGATAACATCATTTTAAAGCCAACAATTTTTTTTTGAGTTGAAAAAAGCCTACCTGAATAAAGTTGGGGCATTCGACTTGACATAAGTAGGGTTTTCTCACACAAAAATATGCAACCTGACATAGCGACTTGACTCAGTTCGGGTGTACATTGATTCAAGCAGATTCTGCGAATTGCTCTAGATCTGGTTTGACTAAATTCAAATTGATCCTGCAGCTTGACTCAATTTGAATTGGATCAAGTATCCATGGATGCATTCAACTTGAATCCAGCAAGCAACGACTTGAACTGGTACTTCTCCAAATAATCCATTCTTCTACTCACAGAAGGCCAAAAATTTGTATTGATGGAGTCATATAGTTACATTGCTCTGAACAACTAGAAAATCTCCCAAAATCAAGTTGAGTGCTACTTGAATCATTACAGTAGTCTTCCTAACTTCTCTACTCTCCAACTTCCCGGCGATCAGCGACAGCGGGGCGAGTGTTCTCTCACTCTGAGCACCCCAAACATGTGTGAGTGCTATGCGTGTATTCCTCTGCGCTTGGTGAATGCGCAGTAAACAGTTTTTGCTTTCGCACATTTTTCTTACTCCGTATGTCCAATAAACTCTCACTCTTACTTGGACGACGCCCCTCCAGAGATAGAGTGTGGATGTCTGCAACCGCTCATTTCGTGGAATTTGTAGCCCCGAGGTGGTGAAGTTAGGGAGACTCTACTGTGCTTATATTTTTCGTGTACATAAGAATCATTGTTAAAGTTTGTTTGATTTGAAAAATTATTAATTTATTTAAGAATCATCAACAATTATTCAATGAATTTTTTGCCTCAAAAAATCTTTTTTTGGTGCTTATTGTGTTCAATCTATTTTTGCACAAAAAAATGTATTCTTTTCTCCTAATTTTCCACAGATGAAACTATTTTAAAAAACTAATAGGCCTGATTTATTGGAAAATTAGTGTATTTGTAGGAAGTAATTCATCACTTTCCTCATTAAAAAATATCAAGAAGACTGGTGTGGCTGTAAACCCATCACCATAAGAGTGAAATCGTAATAAAAGCCTCCACAGAGTAATTGGTCTTCATTTGAAGTTTCTCATTGCTACACCGCGAGTAATTAACAACTTATCAAATTGTGCGATCACATTTTTGATATCTTCGAGGGTATGATACTGAAAGGGGAAACTTGGAATAGTCATTAAACGAGAGAGCCCCAGACAAACGAAGAGAGGAAGAAACAGACGAAAGAGAAGTGAGGAAAAAATATCTCGATGGTGGGGTGTATAGCGATATATGCCGCAAGTAAAAACTCGTCTCCGTCGACGAAACATTTCCGAGAATCACAGACTGCGGGGCCCCGCCGGACTTTTATTTTTATTTATTATATCCGTAGATGTTTGTGTACGTCAAACTTAAATTTCAGATGAGGAAAAAATTTAATTTTTGTTTCCGAATTGAAGCTTTGTTATCAATGGATTTTGTGATGCTTTAATTTTCTCAGAAAAATTATGGGAAATTTTGTGGGACAGAGTAATTGATGTTAAAAACCTTTTTCTCAAACAAATTCATATCGTTGTTCTACCACTGACTTTCACATAGAAATGGCTGGAAACATCATCTAGCGTTATACTATATCATTATTTTTTAAATGCGGGGTCGTATAGATATTCCTGTCTTATTTCATACAACCGCAACTTAATTTTCAATTTTGGTAGGTCCAACGTTGCGAGGATCAGAATTTTTTTTAAACTGAAGGAAAAATGGAAGTATTAAATTTAAATTTGGTATAATTATAGCTCTTATAATATTGACGGTTGATATTTCGTGGTTTCGGGAGTATTCAACCATTTATGGTGTCTCTGTAGGCAACCTACGGTTGCGGTTGTATGTACTGATAGAAAAGATGGCAGGATTTAGTTGCTGTTAACGAGATTTTCAACAGCACGTTAACTATTGACAAATTATGCTAATAGTTAAGAAGCTTCTTTGACAGCAACTAAACACCTGCTTGTTTTTATTTGAAAATATTGTAAGTGGAAAAAACAAGGATAATAATTCAGTTGAAAAATTGCATAAAAATATTTTTCCCTTAGAAAAATATTTCCATTAGATTGTTCAAATTGAAATTTATCACATGAACTTATTTGTCGACAGTCAGACAAATTCACTTCCCAGAAAAAATTGCAGAAACGGCAGAGGGTTAAAGATATCCCACTCTCATAAAAAAATCGCAAAAGGGAGGTGATTGCAATGCCCGAAGAATGTCTCGCCCAGCAATTGCCCCAGCATCCAAACTTGGCTAATTAAGGACCATACATAATCCTATTCCTCCTTCTGTCCCTCTACTCCTCCTCTTCCTCTCCATTTTCTCATCTTCCAACTTTAAATTTTCCATGTGTGCATCTCATTAGTGGTAAGAAATACATCGACTTCACTTCCTGGCGTATTTCACCATGCCTTTTTGTATACAACAGCTACCTCGAGCGACAGTATTTGACTCAATGTTGTCCAAGCAAAAGCGTGGACGCGCGAAATGCGATTTAGTGCGCGTGCCAAGGATTCCAGAATTTCCCCCTCAGCTCGAATTTAGTTGAGAAAAGAAAGATCGTTTCCTCTACCATAAGTAATACTTAAATTGATAACTAAAATAAAGTCCAGCATAAAATTTCAATTGTAGATGCTGAGTTTCAATTCAGCTCTGCCTTCATTTAACTGAGTAATACGTACTCCGTTATTATTACATATATTATTGCATAATCTTAATCCGATGAAATTTGTAGTCTCCAATGCTTAATCTCTGTTATTTATTCTATTCATTCTATCAACAGACAAGGAAAGGAATCAAATTTATGGGTATTCTTTCATTATTAAAAAAAAATCGATTTTAAAACTTTCCGGAAATATTCAAAAATTAATAATGGTTTTAGTTCTTCCCGCCCTTTTTTTGCATGTTTTTAATTTCTTCCCGCTCAAATATTAATGTCCTTATACTTGAGAAAATACTTGAGGAAAAGAAGTGATTAGAAGTTCCCGCCGACATAGAAGAAGAACAATCCATCTTCTCACCGATTATCCCTTTCTGATACTTTTTTAATTTTCTTTTCATAATAATAATTGAAATCGGGCCATAGGAATGAGAGGTATCGATATCCTTTTATCATATGAAGGGAAAAATAGATTTTGATTATTTTTCTCACTCAGATTTCAGCCAATCAGAGCGCCGTATTTGAGGCTGTCAAACAGTTTTATTTCGGAAATTTCTAAAAAACTTCCATGTCGTTATAGAAATTCACGACTTTTTCTTCTCCAACTCGTGGGTTACAATGTTATGACAATTTTTGAAGCCACTTATCCGTATCACGAAAAAAAAATTCTCGAATCGAGTATATAATATTCCGCAACGAGGAATATGTGTATTTCGAAATCCGGGATATTACATACCGGAATCCGGTATATTATATTCTGGAATCCGTGATATTTTATTCTCGATTCCGGAGATATCCCCAGGGGTTTGCCGATTTTTCAGAGGGTGAAAGGAGTGTCGTGAGACAATTTGCAATAACAAACTTTTAGTCGTTCGGATTATTTGGGATGCAGACACTTCTTTCCCGTTTAAAAAGATGGAAAATTGAGTTGTTCCTCCTCTCAATGCACTGTTAAAAAATTTTAACTGAATTTTTCGGATTTTCGTCTTGAAATATCAAACAAGTGACAGTTTCACTGAAATTTCAGGAAATTTTGTCATTGAAATTTCGAGATAAAAATCGAACAAAAAAATAAATTTAGATAACGTTTGGCAGTTAACGGAGCCGGGCCTTAAATGAAATAATCTACCAAATATTCCATTAGTGCTCTAGATGGAACTCGGAACCTCTAGCGTATAGGTGGGCACTTTATCCACTCGACCATACACCCAACACTCAATAAATGAATTAATCTTGCAGATAGCAGCACAGGTCTCAACTCCCAGCACCAATCACCGCATCATCCACAGTCCCAACAGTCCCAACAAAATCCTCAGCAGTACGGCGAAGTGAATCAACTTGGCGGTGTCTTTGTCAATGGTAGACCGCTTCCGAATGCTGTGAGACTTCGAATAGTTGAGCTGGCCCAATTAGGTATCAGGCCCTGCGACATATCTCGCCAACTTCGAGTGAGCCACGGCTGCGTCTCTAAGATTCTCGCTCGTTACCACGAGACCGGAAGCATCCTCCCAGGCGCCATAGGCGGGAGCAAGCCCCGAGTAACGACCCCAAAGGTCGTTCAGTACATAAAACAATTGAAACTAAAAGACCCCGGGATTTTCGCCTGGGAGATAAGAGACCGATTGCTGTCTGATGGAGTCTGTGATAAGTATAACGTTCCTTCGGTCTCAAGTATTTCGAGGATCCTGAGGAACAAAGTTGGCGCTGCGGCTGCAGCAGCAGCAGCGGCTGCCGCCATCCATCATCATCCCCATCACGCCCACCATCACCATCACCATCACCACCTCTATGCAGCTGCAGCAGTAGCAGGAGCTGCACTTTGTCCTGTACCATACCCCTCAGCACCCTATCACCCACCTCCGCCAGCAGTTACGCATCATCATCATCATCAAGGTGAGCAGCACAAACTCAAAATTAGGGCTGCGCACGGGATGAGACGAGATTTTAAGAAGTCTCGGCTCGGTCTCAGAAAAAATTGAAAATTTCAATATCGTCTCGGTATGGTCTCGCTACTGGCTTACATGAAATGGTCTCATCTCGTTTTGTAACATATTGGTCTCGGTCTCGTTTCGCTATCAAAAATTTATGTCTCGTCTCGGTTTCGTCTCGTTGTTATGTTGTTCTGTTTTCACAAGAAGAGACATGGTTTTTCAAGAGGCAACTTTTTTTCTTTCGTTTGTCAGCACAAGATTAGAAATGATTTCTAACATTCATCATCTCATTGCCCTTACGGAAAAAAAACATTCATCTTTTGCTGCAATTTTTTCACAAGTTTTACGCGAATAACTGAAGAATTGCTGAATTGTTTAGTTTTCGTAAACTAAACATTTCTTAGTCACCTAAAGACTCATCGATTGCAAAAAAAATTGAATCGCTTCTTTCGTTCGGGAGACATCGTTGGACAAAATTTTGACCACATACGTACACACTAATACACACACACACACACACACACACACACACACACACACACACACACA